GTGGGGGCATAGTGATCGGTAGGGGGTTTATTTTCGACGTGCAGGGCGGGTGGTGCTTGGTTTTTCTTTTAGCTCCATTGAGAGTAACGTGATGCGCGTCGCCAGGGACGCAGAAGGGTCATTTCATGCGTCGGGGAGGAGCGAAATAACACGCCACGTATAGCCTGGGCAGTCGCTCGTGGCACCCTTCGCGAGGCTGTTTCCCGCGAAGTGGGACACTGCGTCGCGGGCGGTCCACCGCGATCAGATCACTTCAAATCTATGCACCCGAAGCCGCACGACCATCTCTACATCTGTGCGCACCTGTGCTGAAGCCCGCCGCGTGCGCTGTTCACGTTAGGCCGTGGGAGTCGCCGTCCTTCTGCCGTGCAACCGGACGACGCCCGTCAGTCTTCTCGCCACGGAGCGCCGTCGTCGACGATCTTCTCTCTCCTGTCATCTCCAACCTATTCCCCGTCGAGCGCTCTCGCCGCCGTCGTCGTCCTTCTGTCTGCGACTCGCAAGTCGACCTCTTCTTCCTTCGGTTGGCAGATCTTCTGCGTCGTGCGGCTTTCCTTCTTCGTCATGACAGTCCGCCGCGGGAGTCATTGTCGTCGTCAGATCTGCCAACTGGCAGGCTTTTAACGGCGGGCGAGTGGACACGTGGCGGTCCTCACATCGGGTCGTGTGGCTCGTCTACACGGGTCGTGAGGGAACATGTCTGCACGAGGGGCGGGCCGTGGGAAGAAGCGTGAAGGACTGCCTGACGACAGCCAAGTGACTGGAAAAGGTCGGAGGCATGTCTCGAAGGCGAAGAGGCTGCTGTCGGACGATGCGTTGACAAGGGTCCCTCTTGGAGGAGCGCAAGGTTGGGCGGCATAAGCGGGGGGCGACGACGACGACGACTTCGTGACGGACGAAGATCAGGGAGAAGCTGATAACCCCTCCACCCGAGACGAAGCAAGTGCGCGCCCGCGATAGGCGGACTGACGACGCTCACGTTGACGATGTTGGTGACGACGATGACGAGCCTTTGGAAAGACGCCTCCTGCGCGGTCACACAACAGCCACCCCGCCGCCGGCGGCTTCGGGCCACGCTCTCGCTAGAGAAAAGGCAGTGACGGGTAGGCTACCCGCCACCACGGCTGCGCCACGTCCTCGCAACACGGCTGCTGAGGGAGGGCCCGTCCAACGAGGCGGCGGTGGGGTAGTCGCGGCACACGCGGGCGCAGTTGGGGTTGAGGCGGCAGGTGCGGCGGGCTCGGTTGCGGGTGTTTCAGGCAGTGCGCCCCCAGTTCCGGCGGCGAGAGAGGAGGGAGCAGTTGTGGCGATGGCGAGGGACGACGCGCGTGGAGAGAAGAGGAGTGATCGGGAGGGCGGCGAAGCTGGTTCGAGCAGGCCGCGGAGGGGAGTGTTGACAAATGACCTCATAGACGTGCCGTCCTTTGGGTCGACGACAAACCTTTCTGGATGACGGGGGAGGGGCGAAGACTCTACAACATCGTACACGAGACAAGAGAGTACTTTGTCGCCATCGCCAGCGGAATTCCACCGCCTGTGATCCCTCGGAGCGTTGTGATGCCCAAATCCAGCACGCGGATAGCCAGGATCGCCGACCCGTCGCAGCTGCAACAAGCGACCTCCCGTGCGTCGGCAGTGGAGAACATCGCTCTCCGCGTATTGCACGGCTGGGTTTTCAAGTCTGGGAACCGCCCGAGGGGTTACAATCTTGCATTCCAATACGCCCTGGAGTCCGTGGCGACAGACATAGCGCGAGCTATGTGGTACGGCGAGGAGTGGTGCAACGTCGTCAGCCCGGCGGTTTGCGCACACACAATAGTTCTCTCCATGGACTTGCCGCTGTGGTTCGCGGGCGTGAAAGTCGAGAACAGACCGGACGATGATGACATGGCGGCGTACCAGGAGTCCATCATCATCTGCGTCACGCATGCATTCCGGGCGGCGGTGCAAATGGGGGCGGTCATCGACGGCGAGTTCATCTCGCACGATCGTCTTTGCCGGGTGGCTGACTGCCTTAGACTGTTGTTGGCGGCGTGCATGTGGATAATGCGCATGTCGGGAGACGATCCGCGCAGCCACTTCGAAGCTTTCCACTTCGCGACGCTGGTGTCGAAGCCCACACTCGTGGCGTCCATGCATCGGTCGTTCGACCATCGTCGATCTATTCGCCTCGCCGTGAAAGCCGTCACGGAAAGGCTCGGGAAGGCAAACGTCGCGTTTGGAGAGCACCCCGACTACCTTCCTCATTGGGCAGACCGCGGCATTGTGTTCGGACACGGCGCAAGGATTGACGGGCCAGAGGAAGCTAAGAAGCTCGATTGGTTGGGTTCGGGTCCCGCCGATGATGACAACGACGACGACGACAAGGGTGACGCTTAGAGGGGGGAGAGGTGGGCGGTACGCGTGGGCGGATGAGTGGGTAGGTATCCGGGGGGGGGCTTGCTGTTGTGTGAACGCGGGCGAGTGGACACATGGCAGGTCATGCAGTTGCCTCTTTGCATGCGACC